AGATATGGAAGCAACCTAAGTGTCCATCAATAGATAAATGGATAAAGATGTGGTATACAACTCAGTCATAAAAAAGAATGAAATCTTGCCATTTGTGACAACATGGATGGACCTAGAGGGTATTATGCTAAGTGAAATAAGTCAGACAGAGAAAGACAAATGCTGTGCGGTTTCACGTATATGTGGAATCTAAACACCAAAACAAATAAATGAACATAAAAGAACAGACTCATAGATACAGAATGTAACAAAGAGGTGGTTACCAGAGAGAAGGGGGATTGGGAGATGACTGCAATAGTTGAGGGAGATTAAGAGGTACAAAATTCCAGTTACAAAAAAAAATGAGTCACAGGGATGAAATGTAAAGTATGGGGGATATAGATAGATATACTGTGATATCTTTGTATGGTGACAGATGATAACCAGACATATCATAGTGATCATTTAGTAATGTACAGAAATATTGAATCACTATATTGTGTACCTGGAACTAACATAGTGATGTAGGTCAATTATACCTCAATTTGTAAAAATGTGTAAACACTGGGAAGAAATGCATAAAAATGCTAACAATGAAGGTTCTCTCGGGGGGGTGTTATGGGTGATTTCGAATTTTTCCTTTATGTTTTTATGCATTTCTATTTGTCTGCAATGAACATGTATGTTTTGCTTATAAAGTTAGAAAGAAAACAATAAATGTCATCAAAAATGAAAATCTTAAAATAAAATATGGCAGTAGGTACATCTATTATTTTCTGTAGGCTTAAACTACTTCATAATAAAATTTAATATATTTTTAAATTTTGTTGTTTAAAAGAAGAATGCTGTAGAAATTTAGGCAATTAGAAGGAGCTAGTCCAGTAAGTCCAATTTTCTTACTTTTGAGCCCAGAATACACAAGGCTGATTATTTTCTGTTTTTAGCAAGAGGAACAATGGAGAGTTAATGTAGAAGAAGAAACTGTCCTTGATATGATGAATCATTGGCACTTTTGGCAAATGGATGGTCATTTCTAGGAGGAAGTGAATTATCTGAACATAATTATATTTAATCCTCTAGTTTTATAAGAGTGCTTCAACTCACACACTATCCATGTAGGTTACTCCTTCTCTGCCTTACGGGGTGTGAATGTGAAGCTTTAGGGGCACAGTCAATGGATGCTACATTTTCACTGCTGCTAAAAATGTGTAATTAGAGTCTGGATTTTGAAATAACAATTTGCACACATAAAGTACTGACTAGCTGTGCAAGACCACAATTGACTTTTTATTTTTAAACTCCTCACAAAACTTCCTCTTGATTCAAAGTTGCCATCAGACATTTTCTAATGTAATTAGAAAGGAAGCCACAAACAGCTTAACTTTGGATCATATGTAATTTTTAGAATTAATAGCAAGATCCGGAGAGTTTTGTTTGTTTGCTTTTAAATCAGAGTAGTAAATAAGTCTGAAACATTTCACTAGTGAGGCAAGACTCACTTGAGATATACTGTTAAACCTGAGGGGTGAAAATACATCACAGACACAAGTGGTATTACACAGCACATATTTTTCTGAAAACGCAATCTCTGTGCATGAGGATTAGATATATACCCACAATAAGAGAGCATACTGGCCTATAATTTTCAACATTACATCCTTGTATTTTTTATTGTACGCTATTTTTCAACTGGTAGAGGAACATGGTCTCATAAAGCTAATATTTATTCTTCCATGTTTATAGAGCTAATAGAGCACTTCAGGAAATGAGAAACTCTGAGAAGTCACATATAACTTGGTGTCCCGTGCGCCAAAGAAGAGAGGACAGGAAAGTCACCATGTTTGAAAAATTGGGCTCAGGAACTCAGTTATAAAGCTTTAAATAATTAAACAACACAAGATAAGGGAGGCCTTTGATGTTATTTCTATCTCCATAAACGTAGTCTATTTATAGATGATAAATCTTATCATGTAGGATTCTTCATTTTACTAGAGAGCAAAGAAAAGAGTCCTTTAGTTCAGTTCCCATGTGCAACTCTGTAGCTGCTGTGTGTATTTCGTGCAAGCTAAGGAGGAGAGTAACTGTAACAACCAAGATACCCCTACTTATAACTGTGTGGTTTTTTTTTGTTTTTTTTTCCGGTACGCGGGCCTCTCCCGTTGCGGAGCACAGGCTCCGGACGCGCAGGCTCAGCGGCCATGGCTCACGGGCCCAGCCGCTCCACGGCATGTGGGATCCTCCCGGACCGGGGCACGAACCCGTGTCCCCTGCATCGGCAGGCGGACTCTCAACCACTGTGCCACCAGGGAAGCCCTGTCCTTTCCTTTTAATGGATAGCCTTACTTGAGATATTGGAAGAATCCAGAGAAATAAAAGGCATCAAGTCATTTCCTCATTCTCTGCAGACATGAAGAATGGAGGGCAGGAATGGGGGCAGCTGCCAAAAGATAAGTGAGGGACAAGGCAGAAATGTGGATGGAGGGTGGGTGAGGGATATCGGGGCTGATGCGAGAGACAGTTTCAGCTGCAGTGAAGGGCCCTTTGAGCTACCCGCAAACTGATTCCTGAGCTACCGAGGAAGCCTGTGACACGGAGCAGAGAGCTGACACTGGGGTGCATGATACAAAGCAAGTGAAAAACTACTCCTTTGCTACTGACCTGTTCCAGTCTTCCCTTGGACTTCAGATACTCTACCCCCCCTTCCTTTCTCAGTGACTGAGCTGATGATACCTTTGCAACACCAGCCCCACTATTTCCTCTGGGGTCCGAGCCCTGTCTTTTCTGTAAGTCCCCAGAGCTGTCTGCTCTCTCCTGTTTCCCTGCACTGAGTTCTGATGTTATCTTCTGAAAGTACTCTGTTCCTCCTCTCCATGTTCCCATATCAAACAACAGTGATCTCCCCTAAACACCAAACCAGAAATTCTGGTTCTCCAAAAAGTATCCATATACACACGTTGGTGTGTTTCTAGACAGCTGAAAAGCCAGTGTAGACCCAGCACTGAAGAATGATAGGGGGGAAGAGAATGGCACCCAGAGTTAAAAACTGGGGTCCAAGCCCGGCCCCACCATTTGCTCAACTCTGCCCATTTCAGCATGCTCAACTCTCACCGGCGACTCTCTGGTCTGGGCAATCCGGGTCCTCCTCTGCAGGGACAGGCAAAGGAGGTTTGAATTTGGTTATCACGTCAACTGGGGACTGGGTGGCGGGGTGCTGCTGGTCTTTAGTTCCTTGAAGGCAGGGCTACTAACCTTTCTATTGATCAAATCCATGGGCTGATCTTGCATCACAGAGAAGTATCCCCCTGAAAATGTCAATAGTGGCCCCACTGAGAAACAACAATAGATGATTTTTCATGTTCCTGCAACCTGTCTGTATTCTGTAACTGAAGTGGAATGTAGAGAACTTAAGAGACTCAGAACAAAACTGTGGGGATCAATAAATTTGTGGACTGTACAATTTCACAGGAACGGTTCAGAAAAATGGGTTTCTCTCTCCTGAAGAGAAAAAGGATGACTTGAGACTTAAGTCTATGATGATACAGGGGGACTCTGACCAATATATTCTGTCTCCATAACAGAAGAAATAAAGTGCCATGCGAGGACGTCGGGAAACACTTAGGTTTTCTAGACAGTGAGGTTTCTAAGAAAGGAGAATCTATATTAGGATTCAAAAGGAAAGTGGATACCTAGGTATAAAGGTCTGAAAACAAATAGTTTCTCATTGGTTTCGGACAGTTCAAGTGGGATCTTATTTGCAGGCTAGGCAAGAACATTTAGGTAACTTCTCAAGTCCTTTCTAGCACCTCTTTTTCCGTCAGACACTTGTTACATCTCTGCACACCATAACATCCTACCAAGCTGACAGACTGGAGAGTTAAAGATGGAGACACAACCTCCCATCCGTCCTCTCCCCCAATATGTATGTACCACATGCCTCACCCTTCAAAGTGAATCAATCATGGGGTCCAGCAATGAAGGGTGCAGTGGGAAAACTGGAATCTAGCCCAGCACTGCAGTGAAATCTACTTTGATTTCTCAGTAAGAGAAGTTAAAAAAAAAAAAACCCACAGTAGAGGGCCATTACAGGAGAAAACATTTGTCACCGTGGACAGAATAAAAGTCCAACCGAATGAAATAGAAGTCTGTGGGAAAAGACATGTCATTCTAGGGAAAGTACTCTGTTCCTTCTCCCTTGCTCTTCACTTAGTTTTTATCCACTCAGTGAGCCAAGCTTTATCTGCTCTCTTGCTCATTTTTCCATCTATGAAAGATGGGTGGATTAATTTCAGCCTTTAGGTAGGTCTTTGTCAGAAAGCACTTTCAGAATAAAAGTGGTTTACTTGGTACCATCTCAGAAGCAGAACACGCACTTCCAAAATAAAATGCTTGCTTTGCTAGCAAGCTCTGTCTTTAAGTGAGCAACAATACTGTTAGTGATTTTTCGAGTTGTTAACGCACACACATTAAACAACCACCACCATCCCCCTGTTCTATCCTCATCAATCATAGGGTGAGGACCCCTTGGCAGAGCTAAATGAAAACATTATGGCTACTGAGATTTTATAATTTGAAAAATGTCATAATGATAACACTAGTTGATACTGACAAATGCAGTTTTGATTTTCAATGTTTCAAAATATAATTTATCAGCGAGGTCTTAGCTAATTGAAAGTACTTAACAAAATCTGATATACGTAGACACTCAATATAAATGTACTGGATCTGTTCAGTTAGAATTTATGAACACAGCAATAAAACTTGTTTTAAGCCAACGTGGGGGATATTTTATTTCTAATATCCTTGTGACATCCCACAGAGTATCTAATAGTAAGTATGAGAAGGATCATATCAAATTTCTTCTCATTTATATCCATCTCCCAATGAAATCAAAGGATTACAATCTGTGCATAACCTACTTCCACAGTCCTTATTGCAACAGGGTATGACTATTACCCATTTAAAAAATATCCCTCAAAATTAATAATAACTTCAGTGAGACAAATGGAAAAAGTAACACAAACCTTAAGACCTCCAGCAGATCAGAAGACAAATGTGTTCTTTGGGAACTTGACTGAAACAAGGTATTCACACAACTCCTTTAGATGGAAGCTGTTCACAAAGGAAGTCCCATGGAAGACACTGTAGCTCTGACATGCCAGATGCTTCTGGAAGGAGAAAAAAAGCACACCATTAGGATGTGCCCAAAGCACCATGACTGCCAGTACCAGCCACTGTGGTCAGAAAGTGCTGTAGTAGCACCTACCGCTATTATTAAGATAAGAGTATTAATTGCTATTACTTTTGTACCCCCAGATCTTCTTACTCATAAATGACAGGGTGGATGGTAATCTTTCAGCATTGTGTTTAGAAACTTCTAAAGGCCACCAGTATTTTATAACTAAGCCAACTCTGCTTTTCCCCTTATTTAACCAGACAAGGGTTGAAGGACGGTGCTCAGGGTATGAGCATGAAGGCGGGAACACTACTTTTCACTGAGAACCCACCAGCTGTGAGGCACTGGGCACAGACTCTTTAATCTGAACGATGGCCCTGCAATTAGAGGGCACTGGCCCCATTTTCCAGATAAGAAAGCTAAGGCACAGATTCCTGAAGTCAGGTTTACAGCCCAGGCATCAAAGCCTAAAAGACCTCAGGGCTGACTCTGCCCCTCATTTCACTCTGTGGCCTGTGTGATTTAGAAAAATATTTCACTTGGTGCAGCCACTATGGAGAACAGTAAGAAGCTTCCTTCAAAAGCTACAAATAAAGTTATCATATGATCCAGCAATCCCTCTCCTGGGCATGTATCCAGAAAATAAGGAAACTCTAATTCAAAAAGATACATGCACCCCAATGTTCATAGAAGCACTGTTTACAAGAGCCAGGATAGGGAAGCAACCTAAGTGTCCCTGGACAGATAAATGGATAAAAAGATGTGGCACATACATACTATGGAATATTACTCAGCCATATAAAAGAATGAAATAATGCCATTTGCAGCAACATGGATGGACCTAGAGATTATCATACAAAGTGAAGTCAGTCGACAGAGAAAGACAAATATCATATGACATCATTTATATGTGGAATCTAAAACAAATGATACAAAAGAACTTATTTACAAAACAGAAATAGACTCACAGACACAGAAAACAAACCTATGGCTACCAAAGGCGGGGGGAGGGATAAATTAGGAGTATGGGATCAACAGATACACACTACTATACATAAAATAGATAAACAACAAGGACCTACACTATAGCACAGGGAACTATATTCAATATGTTGTAAAACTATAATGGAAAATAATCTGAAGAAGTATGTATACAACTGAATCGCTTTGCTCAACACCAGAAACTAACACATCTTTGTAAATCAACTACGCTTCAATAAAAAAAGAAAAATATTTCATAAACAGAAATATTATTGACAAGAGAACAGGTAACGCTGCAATATACTAAAGTAACTCACATACTACTAAATTGATCAAGAAAATTCCTCTCCTCGTTTGCTTTAGTTTTATATCAGACATTGTCTTATTGAGTCAGGCCCCACAGAAATACAGATAGCCAACTTTAAGCAGTGCACTTCCTCTCCCACCTTCCTCCTTATGCGAAGAGAGCTCTTTGGAAACCCAGTGGTGCCCATGGGTTGCGGGGCAGGTTTGTGTGCTGTGTGACATCAAGGAGATAGCAATGCAAACGGCCCATCTTCCTCTGATGCCTCCATGTGACCCACAGTGCCTTCATCGTCCCAGTGAAAGAGAACATCACCTTTCCCTAAGGGGAATGGCATCCCTGATGCAACCAGGAATAGAGCCTGCATCTTCTGTGGATGTCTCTGAGTGACAGGACTGCATCTCCTCGTAGCTATATCCATCTTAACAGCTAAAGGGTGGCTGACAAGTCTCGGCAGGGCTCCATCTAGGTTTCCGTTCTTATTTTTAGTCAAAAATCTACATGTTTTGGGTTGTTCCATTGCCAACAGCTTACTCTCCACCAGCTGTCCCAGCACCCACTCTTACAGCATGTTTCAGGGTCACAATCAATCACTTCAAAATTCCCCTCAACGTGCCAGCTTTTAATGCCATAGCCTTCTGTATGAGCCTTGGAACTTCTAGGTCATAACCACACTATACTTGGGAAGCTCCTCGGAAAGGCTAGAGGAGGATAAAGCAGGAAGGTCACATGTAACTTTTAAAAAATTTTATTTTAATTTAGGCAACAAAAGCTTAAGGCATGAATAAAGAAACAAGGAAGAACAACTGATAGAGTTTTCAGAGCTCTGCAGAACTGGAGCCTAGGAGTATTACGTGGGGAAAGAAAAAAAAGAGAACAGAGCCAAACAGAGCCAGTTTATCTTTGCATAAAAGAAGGAAGAAGAGCTTGACAAAGAACAGGGAATGAAAATATCTGGACCATGGACTCTAACCTAAATGACGGGAATACAAAATGAATAGAAACTCTTCTTAAAATCTCACATACTAGCTTTCTGATTTCCTCACATCCCTTAAAAACAAAGTTTCAGGTGGTATGCCTAAATGTGTACCCTGTTTCCCATAAAACCTCGACGGTAATTTCCAAACATTCACTCAACCACTATTTACTGTACACTTCTTTTATTTTTTAAATTTTTATTGAAATATAGTTGATTTATAATGTGTTAGTTTCAGATATATAGCAACATGATTCAATTATACATATATGTATATAAATATATATATTCTTTTTTACCTTCTCTTCCATTATAGGTTATTACAAGATATTGAGTAGAGTTCCCTGTGCTATACAGTGGGTCCTTGTTAGTTATCTATTTTATATATAGTAGTGTATGTTTTTGTGGGGTTTTTTTCGGTATGTGGGCCTCTCACTGTTGTGGCCTCTCCCGTTGCCCGGACACGCAGGCTCAGCGGCCATGGCTCACGGGCCTAGCCGCTCCGCGGCATGTGGGATCTTCCCGAACCGGGGCACGAACCCGTGTCCCCTGCATCGGCAGGCGGACTCTCAACCACTGCGCCACCAGGGAAGCCCAGGAGTGTATGTATTTTAATCCTAAACTCCTAATTTATCCCTCTCCCCCTTTCCTCTCTGGTAACCATAAATTTGTTTTCTATGTCTGTGAGTCTATTTCTGTTTTAAAAATAAGTTCATTTGTATCCTTTTTTTAGATTCCACATATAAGTGATATCATATGATATTTGTCTTTCTCTAAGCCAGACAGAGAAAGACAAATATCATAGTTCATACTTCTGAGTCAGTCAGTATGTCAGAAAATTCTAGGAACACTGATAAAAGCAAGATAGCCTTTGCCTCAAGCACGTTACTGCTTTGGAAGCGGATGCAACTTGGACATCAAAAATTATGAGAAGGTGGTACTGATACGTGTTTGAAAGAATGGGGTCTGGACCAGACTGCCTAGGGTTGTTCTTGCTTCATCACTAGCTAGCTGTATGATCTTGGGCAAGGTCTTTAAACTCTTTAACCTTGGCTTCCCCATCTGCAAAATGCAGAAATGATATACTTCCCACGTAGGCTGCTGTAAGCATTAAGTAAGATAACCTATACAAACTGCTTGGCACAATAAGGGGTGCATGGTAAGAACTCATCAATTGTTAGGAAGGAGTGGTAGTGCCGTTATATAACACAGCGTGATGATGTCAGCGAGGGAGAAAGTGCTCTGAAACTTTGAAAGGGCTGGCGATCCTCTTTCTCAGGAATGAGGGGAATCTAGAAGGCTTCAGTAAGGAAGGTAGCATTCAAGATCAACCATAACTAAACACACACAAATAATTAGGCTTTCACAGAAATCCTCTAATGATAATTGAAAAGCTAGAAAATGAGCTACTTTAGAAAAAAAACAGGTCCACGAAATTAGACATTATTTTCCAGGATTTGGTGTGAAAGTAGATATCTACCGTAATGACATAGCCAGGGAACGATACAAAGAAGAAAATCTATGTATTGCTACCAAGAAAGATACAATATCCCACTGGGTCCTGTTCTATTCAACTGTAATCCAAAATGACACCAGGGCTTTTTAGTGGAATTGGCAAGCTCTGGGCACACCATTTTTAAACTTAGCCTCAAATTTAAGTCACAGGGCTTGTGACTCAAATCTCCAACGTGACCTTTACAGGGTATTGTTCAAGGAAACATGCCTGTCACTGCTCAGAGAAACTATACACCCTTTTATCCTGGAAAGTATGATGAAAAGATGCACTATATTGTTATAAGCACAGAGCCACAAAAGGATTCCAGCTTTGATTCTCCAGAAGCAATGAAAACAAAGACTCTATTTGATTTTGTATCATTCATGTAGAAATGCTGTCTTATCACGTTAATGAGCATTCCTATTTCCCCCATATTCTGGACTTTATTTGATTCAAAAGAAGCTTGGCAGGAATCTCGTCATTTATGGATTTAAAATATAATGCCTCTGACTAAATCCCTCTTTCAAGGGCTTACTGAGCCACGCTACTTGTCTTTTTGTCAGACCCATAGGATATTGTGCTGAACAGCAGAGCTAAAAGCACACAGTGACTTGAATTCTCTCACCCCTTCTCTGCTTCCCAGCCCTGGGAGGTCTGCTTAAAGAGAGGGACCTTGCAAAAGACGTGGTGTCATCATTCCTTTCTCACCCTTCTTTATCCCTTCCACTGAATTAGGAAATCCTGTCAACTCCTCTTCCCATTCATCCATCTCATGACATCACATTTCATGTACTACCATACGCTTTTTGCTGGTGTTCCTTCTAGTAGCTCATCCTACAAACAGTCAAAAGATTCGGCATCTTGTTTGACTGGTCGATGGTGGTGAGAAATAAATATCAGAATAAAAAAAATGAAAGAATGAATGCATAAATGAACTATTTTTTAAAAATGTAACTCTAATTATATTCATCCACTACTCAAGAACTTACCGCGGCTCCCTATTTTCTTAAGGATCAGATCTACATCCTCATTAGGAACCCCTGTTCCCACCACCCTCTCTAACCTTAAAACAGACTATTTGTGACCCCAACCCTTGGGTCAATTAGAAATAGTTTGCTCATTACATTCTAGTGAATCTCAACTAAGGATGCGTCGTTAATTACCCAGGTCAACTAAATTGGAATCACCAGAGGAAAATCCTCAGTATATGCATTTTTAAAATGCTCCACAGGTGAT